CCAAATTAAGGAAGAAGTTCGACTGGAACTAATTTCTATAAACATGGATAACACCGAATTTGTAACACCACAACAGACAGCACTAGAAACACAAACACCACCAACGCTAACAAATACAAACGACAATAACATTGAACAAGCAACACTAACAATCACCAACGACATAAATCCACAAACAACAGCCCAAAATACTCTAAATCTGCCCACAGATATACTGGGACAATTAGAGGAAATGTACACTAACCACTACAATAAATTCAAGGATTCTGAACCTACAACGAGACCATATATTCCCAAATTAAAACCATCTAGGAAATTGGCAGCTATTATAGACAATATCAATGCACATATTCTCCCAAACGTACTAACTTCCGATACTGACTTTCACACACTACAAACATCTATTTATTGCGCAGCATATACCACAGCCGTATTCAACGGGGCTAGAATTAAAGAAATTAATCAAATTAGCAATCGATCAGAAAAAATCCCGTGGTGGCAAAAAAGACTAGAGCGTAGGATTATGGAGCTCAGAGCTAATATAGGAAGGCTTACTGAATACTCAAAAGGGGTCCGATCGCAAGCCCTAACAAAACACATCGGTAACATAAAACGTAAGTACAAAATACACACTCGTCACGAAACAGAAAACACAGACATTGCACATTTTTTAGATACTTTAAAGCAGAAACTTAATACACTAGCTAGTCGATTAAAAAGATATAAGGAGACAACTAACAGAAAAACCCAAAATACACAATTTAAAAATAACGAAAAACTATTTTACCGAAAATTAACCCAACAAAACAACAGATCCCAAGTACACACCTCCTTACCTACTCCCGAATCACTTCACGCATTTTGGTCAAACATTTGGTCTACTCCGGTCACACACCACCAAAACACTTGGATTGATGAAGACAAAGAAACTTGGAAAAATACGCCAGAAATGGAATTTGACCAGATTAGTTTACAACTTTTACAAACAGTGATAGGTCGGACGCACAATTGGAAAGCAGCAGGGTCAGATAACATTCACAACTTCTGGTATAAGAAGTTAACATGCACTCATACATTATTGCTAAAACACATCAACACATTCATACAATCGCCTGACACAATGCCATCATACATCACGCAAGGCACAACATACATGCTACCAAAAGACCCATCAGATACAGAGAACCCTGCTAAATATCGTCCAATCACTTGCCTTCAGAACATATACAAAATAATTACATCATGCCTCAGTGAAACTATATCTAAATACACACAAGAACATAATATCCTAGCAGAAGAGCAGAAAGGGTGTCGAAAGAATAGTAAAGGGTGTAAGGAACAACTAACTATTGACGCTGTAGCATCCGAACAAGCACTTAAACAAAAACGTAACATACACACTATGTACATAGATTACAAAAAAGCCTTTGACTCCGTCCCACACTCCTGGTTAATCTATATTTTGAAACATTATAAAATTCATCCCCGTATAATTCATTTCTTAGAAAAAACAATGCCTAACTGGAATACAAAACTAAAAATACACAATGCAAATAATCAAATCACCGAAACAGATTTTATTTCTATAAAAAGGGGCATATTTCAAGGTGACGCACTCAGCCCCTTGTGGTTCTGTCTGGCACTCAACCCACTGTCTCACATGTTAAATAAAAATGATTATGGGTTCAAAATTAAGAATAATTCTCAACATACTAGTCTCAGTCATCTGATGTACATGGATGACATCAAACTATTTGCAAATACGATTAGCGAAATAAACACCCTCGCAGACATCACACAAACATTCTCAAATGACATCTGCATGGAATTCGGAATAGATAAGTGCAAAATTCAGTCAGTCATCAACGGACTAGTAGCACCGACATCGTTCGTACTAAAGAACCATGAAATTATAGAATCTGTAGATCCCAATGAGGGCTATAAATACCTGGGTTACTACCAATCTACAGGACTTCACCATAAAAACACAAAGAAAACACTGCAACAAAATTTTAGACAGAGACTACACAAGATACTAAACTCTCACCTCAATTCGAAAAACACCATCAAAGCCATCAACACGTTTGCTATTCCTATACTAACCTATTCTTTTGGAGTCGTACGATGGACGAAAACTGATCTCACCACACTACAAAGACTTATCAACACCACTATGACTAAGCACAGGAAACATCACCCCAGGGCCTGCGTTCAAAGATTAACTCTACCTAAAATTGAAGGTGGCAGAGGAATTATTGATATAACAAACCTTCACAACAACCAGATAACAGGACTCCGAAGATTCTTTTACAATCGTTCACAAATTTCTCCACTTCACAAAGCCATCTGTCAGGCAGACACATATACACCACTCTCTCTAGCACACCACACAAAACAAATGACCACAACCACTAAACAACAAAAAATACAAACTTGGACACAAAAATCGCTCCATGGCCGTCATCGTCTCGATTTAACCAATCCCATTGTTGACAAAACAGCGTCAAACGCATGGTTAAAACGAGGCGAGCTGTTCCCCGAAACAGAGGGGTTCATGTTAGCGATCCAGGACCAGGTTATTGACACAAAAAATTATAGAAAATATATAATCCGCGACAGTACTCTTGGCAGTGATAACTGCCGACACTGCCACAGGCAACCTGAAACAATACAGCATATTACAGGGGCATGCTCTTCCATCACACAAACAGATTATAAACATAGACACGATCAAGTTGCAGCAATCATACACCAAGCACTTGCATATAAACACAAACTCATTTCGGAAAAAATACCATATTATAAATACACACCGCAAATCATCCTAAATTCACCGGAATTTAAAATGTATTGGGACAGAACCATTCTAACTGACAAAACCATACACCATAATCGCCCTGATATCACACTACACGATAAGAAAAATAAAATAGTATTCCTAATAGACATTGCGATCCCTAACACACACAATCTCAGTTCCACCCATACTAACAAACTCTCCAAATACGCAGATCTGACCATTGAACTGAAAACCCAGTGGCAAGTTAACACAGTCAAAACAGTTCCTATTATAATATCTAGTACAGGCGTTATCCCTAAAACACTCCACACAAGTCTAAAATCTCTTGATTTACACCCTTTTACAGAAATTCACATTCACACTTTTACAGAAAGCAGTCATACTAAACACTTGCAGAATCGTCAGGAAGTTTTTAACAATAGAATAAATTCTAAGACCACTAGTCACCCCAAGGTTGCTTTGACCAAAAGTCCGTAACTTTGGTGTATATCCCCAGAAATGGGTGAGGTTTTAACCTAAAACACAAATATAATAATAATAATAATAATAAGTTTATTTGTTAGAATATTGGTACAAAAGGTGTTACAAATAAATGGATGATCCGAATATTCTGCTGTTTCCAGCGTACAAATATTTAAAATTAAAAGCAAACAAGTCTAAATATGAAATAACAAAATTAGAGTAAATTGTTCAATAAAATCTTAAATATAATATTTGCGTTAAGTTTATCTACAGGGTAGTAAAAACATGTTATAGTTTGAATTTTGGGCTAAATTTTTCGTTCAAAAAATCGTTAGTTGAATAATAACATTTATGTAAAAGAAAATAGAATAACTTATTTTTAAATTCCATAACATTAAGAGTTTTAAAAACATTTGGTAATTTATTATAAATACGAATTGCCATACAGTAAACATTATTAGAAAAAAGTTGAATTTGTTGTTGTGGTACACATATCTTATGAGTGTTTCTACTTTTCCTTATTATGGCATTATTGGGTGTTACAAATAAAGCTATATTTTTATGCACAAAGATACACATTTCGAATATATACAAAGATGGGAGCGGCAGTATTTTAAGTTTTTTAAATAGTGGAATACAGCTATGTAATGGTTCGACTTTACACATGGAACGGATACATTTCTTTTGGGCTCGGAATGCTTTAATAATGTCTACGGAGTTGCCCCATACTATGAGGCCGTAGCGGAGAATAGATGCTACGTATCCGTGATAAGCACAAAGTGCTGCATTGATGCCGGCTATCCGTGTTATCCTATTTAAGACGAATACAAATCTCTGTAGTTTAGTGCACAATTTGTCAATGTGTACCTTCCAGTTACAATGTTTGTCCAATGTTATTCCCAAAAATGTTGTAGTGTCAACTTCCTCTAGAACGCTATTTGCATATTTTATTCCCAATTGCTGACGTTTGTTGTTATAAGCCTGAAATTGTATAAGTTTGGTTTTACTAATATTAACATGTAAATTGTTGTCTTTGAGCCATTCTATTAATTTGTTTAGTGTATCATTAATTTCCTTTTCGTATTTTGTGATGTCGTTATCTGTGAGTTCGATATTAAGGGTGGTGTCATCGGCGTATAAAATGCATTGATGTGGTGTAACATTAGGTAGATCATTTATATATAACAAGAACAGAAAGGGCCCAAGAATGCTACCTTGAGGAACACCACTTGAGTTTTGTCGATAGGCAGACCTGTATGTTTTTTTTACTGATAAGGTAAGCCTTGAGATCTCCACACATTGTTGTCGATCACTCAAATATGTTTCAATCCAGTGTAGTGCTTTTCCCCTCACACCATAACGATTCAACTTGAAAAGTGCTGATTACTTAAACTTTTAGAGAAAATGACTTTGCGAGAGGGAAATTCTTACCATACAAAAAAAAACAATTCTAGTAACTGACAACACCTTTGTAATTATTATCATATTGTACATTCCACCAAGAACCATCGGACCCCTACAAACAGATCCCACTACGGCCAGAGACATACTACAAACAGTCTCGGAGTAAAAACTGAAGGAATGAGGTGGTTTTTTTTATCAGAAATGGTCTTCCTCTTGCTCCCAAAAAATGTTCATGTACTTATCATAAAATCCATGCTATTTTTTAAACATTGTTAAAACAAAAATGTTGTGTTAAAATCTGATCCTTTCACTAACGATTTTCTCTTGTCACTAGGTCATTCAGGGCGAATCCTCTGCATGTGTGTGACTCGAGAGTCACAATACTTGCTGACTGGATCTGAAGATACCAGCGTCATCGTTTGGGACCTCCATACCTTGGCAGTCAAGACTAAAATTCTGTAAGTTCTTGCGAATTGCATAAAATATACACATCGTGTTTTAATTTCATATTGTTAACATAATCAACGACCTTCTTGAATTGATGTCAGATATGAAACTCAAACTTAAATAAATTGATTTTTATAATCACTTATTCATATTCTTTTTAAATATATCCTTTATTTAAGGTTAGGGTCAGCTACTGACGAACAAATTTAGATCACTACACAGTAAATGAAAGTAGCTTTTTCAGTCCCTTAGTACGCTTGAATCTTTGAAACTACGCAACTGATTTTGATGCGGTTCTTTTGATAGATAGAGTTTTAACTGGTAAGAAATCAAACATCAGCAGTGCGAAGCCAGGGCAGTTTTAAATCACGAAACCCCTACTACCAATTGTCTTCTCTTGAATAACAACATTAGCGTCTATTACCGTTCTGTGCTTCAACTATAAATCTTTTGTTATAGACACATTCAATTAACATTACGACAAATCGTCCACAGAATTATGAACAATGTCAATTAAACCACTACAACAGGATCATCGGACCATATAATTATACCTTTTACACGGTCACAAACTGTAGGCACAAAATTAATTACACGTCCCAGTACTGATCAATTACCTAATTGATGTCTACTAACATACAACATATTAAGTTTATTACAATCTATCTATCTTAGAGAAAAACAGAATTTACTGTAAGAATAAATAAGAGTCATTTTGGCTCCGCTATCTTGTTGATCGATAAACCCGTCAAGATGAAAAGAAACGTGTAAAACAAATAATACATTGTGAACATCTGAACTTATAGCATAGTCTGTGCCTCTATTTTAGGAAAAAAATCGGAACATTACTATAGTTTTCTTCTTTTTCTTATACGATCGGGTAGTTGAAAATAAATAATGTAAACTGTAAAACTAATGAAAAATAATGTAACCTGCGAGAAGAACAGTTATCAAAACACACACACTATGCTTTATTTGTACTTGTCTAGATGTAAAGCGTGTGTGTTTGTGTGTCTGTTGGTCTATATTGATGACTATATGTACCTACTAGCTACTACCGCACGGTTTTACTCGCTGCTCTTCGCCATTTGATTGTAGCGGGAGGCTTTATAGCCTATAGCACTCGGGAACATTGTAACTATCAATAAGTGAAAGAATTTTCGGAATCCGACCAGTGGTTCCAAAGATTCCCCCCTACATACAAACTTACAAACATGAAAACTTACAACCTTACAAACTCACAAATTTTACCTCTTTATAATATTAGTATAGATGTTGGTAATCAAGACCAAATTTGACGAAACATGGGGTGGCTTGGCAACCGACAACTGCGCAACGTGTCGATTCCCTCATAGAACTAATCTTTGTGTATATGTACCACAATTTGTGGTTATGACGCGTACATGAAAAAATAGTAAACGCACCCACGACACAAAAGAAAATCCTCGTGTTTTAAGAAAAAAAAAGAATTGTCAATTCAAATCATCTGCAGTTGTATATCAATATTCAATATTGTTCAATATTTTGTCAGGGAACACATAGCACCAGTGCTGTGTGTAGCGGCTATAGTGAACAGGTCGCTAGTAATCAGTGGAGGAGAAGATTCTGCGGTCATTGTCACTTCCCTCGTCGACGGGGCTCTGGTAAGACTCGCTTTTGCTCATTTGTACTAAGTATATTGTTTTATATCTGAGTCATTAACAGCATCATTTGTTAGACTGTTCATTGAATAGTTGAGCCGATTAGTTTCTCATTACTGGATTAGATTGTTAGTCTTGAAAACAAAAGTTATTTTTTTTTTTCAATAATTTACACAAACTCGTGAGCGTCATGTTTGAGACGAAGTTTAAAATTTAGTGACGAGCAATTGAGCCCAATATTTGTTCTTTTGTTAACAACTTATTCTCTGTATTTTGGTACTGCATATGGCTACAATAATGTGTACTAAAGTGCTAAATAATGTTTTAGTGAACTTGTAAAAAACAAAATAAAAAAATTGAGTAGCAATGTAGTTTCTAGCTAGTTCGTCTCCATTCGAATCTACACTTTAGAACGAGTACCTAGCTTCACTGACTTACAAGACTATTATTCCGATTTGACGTTTCTAAAGCACCTATTTATGGCTTATTTGGAATAAATTATTTTGACTTTGACAAACAACTTTTAATTAGGATAATCAAAACCAACACTTATTGCCTAATTATGTGAATTTTAATAAATGAAAAATAAAATATTCATAATCGATTATCACCAGGTAACAAAACTAGATCACCACCGCGGCCCAGTAACAGCAGTAAAAGTAATCCAAGATGGCGAAATCCTAGTCACGTGTTCTCAAGATGGCACTGTCTGTACTTGGAACGTAGACAACTTCACTCTTCTCAGCACCGTGAATGCAGGAGTTCCTATAAACACCATGGAGATCACAGACGACAATGTTTTCCTTATAACTTTGCAAGGAGAAAATGAATTACACGTCCGAACTTTCATTACTGGGACTCATTTACATGTATTGAAGCGACATAAGGCTAAGGTAAGTGGTGTAAAACTACATAATTTAGATTAAAGAGTTCTTACCGTATCATATTCAAACTTAAATGTCCCCAAATGGAATATGACAATGTTGACCATGTCATGAGACAAAATATCTTAGCCGTATCTTGGTAAAGAGCACTACTTCAAAGGTATGGAGAATAACATGGCAAAGAAAATACAGAATAGTTAAAACCTAAAATTTAACATAGACGAATGTAACTTTATAAGAAACTAGCTATTCTCGCGCGGTTTCACCAGCTGCTCAGCTCCATGTAATCGGAGCGTGATTTTTATAGCCTATAGCACTCAGGAACATTGTAGCTACCTATCAGTGAAAGAATTTTGGCAATCCGACCAGCGGTTCCAAAGATTACCCCCTACATACAAACTTACAAACTTACAAATTTTATCCCATTTTAACAGTTTCGTAGTTATTTAGTATTATAGTATTAGTATAGACACAATCGTTAATTAATTTCAATAAATAAAAAGACTTTAAAATTCTGTTTCCAAACAAGATAACAATACCCCTACACCCAAATGTACCGACGTAAATCACAATACCTACATCTATTTTTAGACACCCAAACATAATTTCAACTTATAATTCAAGAACACAGACTCTTATTAAAGTAATCACAAAAGGAGTTCGTTGCTATTTTGGAAAAATAAAACATACAAGTCTAATTAACTTTGAATGGAAGCGACGGACCTATTGTTTTACTTTAAAGACAGGGAAGCTTTTGTTTTACAGTCCCTCTGTAAACGCCGTAGGTACTCTTATAATAGAGATACCCAGCTAACAAGAATCTCATTTGTACTCTTGATAATCTAATATCTAAAGACGAAGCCATACGTATATTATAATACGTTAGTTGTCTTTTACCTAGAAATTTTTGATGAACACATCAGCAGATAGAATAAATGACCGTTCTTAATCCAAAATCTTTATATCAATCTAAGTTTTTGAAATAAGTAGGTATGTAAGTACATTAGCGATATTTTTTAAATCCATAAGCCATTATATCACACCCCACCATTCTGTACAAATAAATTTAGTTTACTAATTGATTAATAAGTACAACAGCTTCCTAATTTTACAGTTTTTTTTTTTGGACACAGAAATTTATATGTCTGTTGCTTAAAAAGTAGAAAGTGTTTCGTGTTCCGAGAGCCCAGATTTATTTTAAGGTTGTGCTGTGTAGACTGGTTTGATTTCTTCGCTGCACTCAGTCCCTGCAAATTAATCCTATTCCCACCATAAATTCAATTTCCCCGTCATGGAGCTACTTTCATTTTTATTCAGCGTTTCATTTTGCACAGCCAAAGCAAAAAGAACAACTTTATTCCGACGGGACCTTTACAACGACATAAATTTATCTTAAAATTTCAGCAATATCTTCCTATTATCTGGGAGCAACGTTAATTTGACGTTACGGTAAGAGGATTTAGTTAAATGAGATACACGTAGCCTACTAAGTTCTTAAAGTTGATAAGAACAGCTAACGTTCTGTGGAGACAATGTGGAATTTGATGAAAATTTTCAAAACATTCGTGGTATTTCTGTAGAAACGCTTAAGCTCTTTCATGAATATGAAATACAACGAAATCTAATCGCCTGTCGGCATGACTAAGCCCCAGTTGTCCCGGTAAACAAAAGCTATTCGACGATAAACATCAAAATCCAAAAGCAATGATATAAACTAAACCAATAATGCCACCCCAATAACTTAGATCCCCGCAACTAATTCCCAATAAATCCGAAACTTCCCGAAACCCGTGACCGAATTGTTGTCCTCAAAATATTCAACCATTACAACCTTGACATCTACACCGCACACTCAACCTACGAAATTGGGATCACTAAATTGGTTAAGCTCTTTATTCGTTAGAGAAAATAGATTACCACCGATTTCTTTTAAGTGCTCTTGGACCCGTTTCTTATTACATTTGGTGAAAACGCCGCGCTAAGCGGTGCTATTAGGTTACCATCGATATCGTGGATTGGGAAACTTTTTGTTTATTGGGTTTAAGACATTTACTTCGTGTAAAACAAGGTTAAGAATAATAGCTGTTTATGGAATATATATTTCAACACGAATTTCTGATAAATGATCTCCATTATAAGTCAGTTTCTGCCCCGTACTTCATTTAACTTTACTATCTTCATTTAATAGAACTATCCATAAGATTAGACAACAATTTCAAGGACAAAATTAATTTGATTCAAGTGTTCGCTTCCCGATATTGATAGCAAACTTTCAATTAGTAGCAAATCGAATCGAAAACTTGGAAGCGAACAAGTAATAATTGATACTTTAATTAATTTAGAGAGCTCGAAACATCTGCTACAGTATTCTTGAAAGAACTAATATCAGCAAAATGAATAATCAATTAAAATTGCTTACCTGCAGAGAAATTTCGCGCCGTCAAACTGTCTTAACAGTTGGTGGGTTTATATATTGTAAACTTTTTGTTAACACTAATAAAAGATTTAATTTTTGAAAAAAAAAATGAAAAGTGATCATTTATATTCTCGTTAAACATAGTTTCGGGACTTCTTTTCAGTTTATAAGTGGAACCTTAACTTTGGTGCAACAAGGACGATGTTCAGCCGGGGTTGTGGGTCAAGCACAATATTCAACCGCAGCCTCGGTTTAAAGAAGGAGTAAGAATAGAGTGATTGTAGTGAGCAAGAGTCTGACACGCCCAGAGCAACATTTGAAGATTTCAGACCCCAAAAAAATCTTATAACTTTCTGGATTATCTTTATGTATTCATTCATGCAACCTTTTACCAGAAACTCTTAATGAATAATAAATACATATTTTAGGTGAAATGTTTCTGCGTGGCTCATGATTCGTCTCGCGCCGCAGTAGGCTGTGCAGATCAGAGGATTTACTTGTACAGTCTTCATAGTGCGACTCTCCTGCGCACTTTGGCAGTTGCGCATGATCTGGCGGCGCTGGCCGTCGCTGATAAAGATCACTTCTTGCTGGCTGCTGGTAAGTTAAAGAATAATCTTAATTTGACTTTGAAATAAAATTACTTACCTATTTGTTAAATGAAACTTTTTCACATGTATTCAAAAATGTGTTCTATTATTACATTAATTCGTTTCAATATGCTCAGGTGTATACAATCATATACCGCTGCAACATTGTATAAATTCCTCAAACATCTTCCTGCTCTCTTCAACCTAATTTTGAAAGTTATAAATTATATCTTTCTCAATAAACAATATTGTTTCAGGCGGCAACAGAGTAACGATATATTCATTCCACACAGAAGACAACTTGACTAATTTCCGACCAACTAAGCAGACAAAGAGACGCCAAACTAAATCCATGACAAATGTGACTATGCTACAGGTAACCAACTATCAGCCTATATTTAGCTTCACCTTCTGAAGTTCTATAATTGACATGTAATCTATGGACCTACCTTCATTTTCGAACAAGAAATAAATATCAACTAAGCACACGCACTTTCTTAACAGGCAGAACAAAGCGAGCTCATCCCCATCAGCTGTCTAGAAATCTCCCGTGACGGCCAATTGGCTGCTAGCGGTTGTGCTCGAGGCCTAGTCAGAGTATGGCACCTGTCCACCCACCGTCTTCAAACCACTCTAAACGGCCACCTCGGACACGTCACATGTGTGACTTTCTCTCCTAATAACCTACTGGTCCTAAGTGGATCTGAAGACAGAACCATCGTGGTTTGGCAACTAGCTGACAATTCACCATCGCTGACTTACAAGGTAACCAAGAAACGTAAACTTTATATTTTGTTTATAATCAGATACTTCTGAAACAAAGGTCGTTAACACAAGTTTCAGTTACAACATAGGACTTTTAATTAAAACTCTTCTTGCTTACAAACATTCTTAAGAAAAGTTTGAAGTTAAAATGTTTGAAAATGCTATTAATTAAGTTGTACCTACGTGGTGTAGAATAAAGAAACACTTGCAGGGCCATTCAGCAGCTCTGCAAACTTTGTTGATGATGTCTGACGGGAGGCGCGCGATGTCGGGAGACCGCGCTCGCAATGTTCACGTGTGGCTTGTAGACTCCGGCATAGTGTTGCACTCCACCGCCGCACCCACAGCCAGCCTCGATGTTACACTCAACATGAAGTTCGCTGTAAGTAGCAAACTAACTTCGAGAAACTTGAAACTCAAAGTTAGAATAGATTAAGAGAATACATTCCAGATTCTATCACTAGAATAGTTTCTCATAGAGAACATTTTGGAAGTCAATTCTCTATTTACACGAAGACAATAATATAGGTGATAATGTTTTTAAGCGTAACGTTTTTCTATAGGTGCTATCAGATGGCGATAATTCTGTTCGTATCTGGACTCTGGCTGGTGGTGATAGTGGAGAAGAGAAGAGGAATGTGTCCCACGCAGAACGGATCACATGTTTTGCCTTAACAGCAGATTCTCAACATGTCGTTACTGGATCTATGGATATGTCACTCAAAGTTTGGAAGTTAGATGGAGGAAAGTTGTCACAGGTTTGTATCTGTATAAATAAAGTTTCTTTTCTTTCCGTTAGATCTTCTTTTGTTAATAATCTATAATAAAATTTTAATCTCAAGTATTTTACAAATTCTCAAGTTAATTAATTAATATAGTTATAATAGGGTAGTTTCTTACCAGTCAAATTCAATACCGTTTTTGTAAGGTTAGATACAAAAATATGTTTTAAATTAGCAAGAGTACGTAAATTAAATATAGGTATGAAAATGTGGTAATATTTTAATATTCTAAAGCCTTCAAAAGTTGCAATGGCTTATTTTTAACTGGAGAAACAATCCAATTCTAAGCGAATGTTATAAAGAATTTATCATTGGCTGTTGTGAAGCAAACTTTTTTGCATCTTACTGTATTTAATGATGGTTGGTTTTCTCTTGACATTTATTTTTTCTACATCCTTTGTTCAAGCTTCACCAACTCTTTCATGTAAACAATCCAAAATCACACATCCCACAGAATTGTCTGATTTTCAACAATGTAATATCTTCATCAGGTATTAGTAGGCCATTCGGACATTGTAACCTGTGTGGCAGTCTCAATAACGAACAAGACGCAGATAGTCTCAGGCTCTTGGGACTGTAACCTGATAGTGTGGGACATCAATACGGGATCGGACTTGCATTTGCTGTCTGGACATCTTGGGAAGGTCACTTGTGTGAAGGTTACTGGAGATGGAACTATTGCGGTGTCAAGTAAGTAATGGCAAAATATTTAGTGTCTGATAGCCGTTCGATTCCTGATAACAACTTAAAAGACAGGCAACGCACTAGGAAATAATCTGGAGCTGCCTGTGTCACTATCATCGTTTGCAGTTCATTCTATAAAAAAATTCAAATGTATGAATATATTTTTGTAAACAGATAATAAAAATTACTTATATATGACTTACTATCTAACTACTGTGATTCTGAAATATCGAAACTAAATTAAAGGTGATCTCTTTTTAAAGTCTAGGTTATGTTGTCACATATCCTTGCTTCGTAATAGTTTCCATGTTTAAAAGTTTCATCCTGCTATTCTATTAGAGATAAGTTATGACAACTAACAAAAGATCGATGGGACCCATTACAATTGTTTGACTTGACTTTACAGAGTACGTATTTTCTTATGTTTAACTTGCTGAAATTCGTTTCTGAAGTTTCATTATCATTGATAAAAGCAATAATGTGAACAAAATAACTATAAATAGTTCTTTCTAAAGCAATTCCTACAACACTTTGTTCTAAACAATAATTCCTTTTAACAATATCATACTGTTTTTGTAAAACAATGGCTGACAAATCGTGTATTTGTACTAAAGGTGCGGAAGATAAAACACTTATCATCTGGGAAACGAAGAGAGGTCTGGCTCTGACATCTTTGGCCCTGCACGTGCCGCTACTCGGCTTTCAGATTACAAGCGATTGCGCACGTATCGCTGTACATCTTTTGGACCGAGGTTGGTGCTTTGTTCTGTGTCTCTTTGTTGTAGTTACATAAAATAATCAGAATAACAGGTATAATTATGTATATAAGGTTCATTTTTATGTCGTGGTGGCCCGGAGAAGGACGCGCGCTTCTCAATTTTTAGGGTTCAATACTTGGGATGTACCTATCTGACTTTTGCCGAGCTATATGTACCTACTTACTTTTTAAGAATATTTAGATACCAGTGAGTTATGGTGTGTCGTGAAAAATCTGGACTTATTATTATTTCTAATTATAAGTTACGCTTTGTGCAAGAGTGGTTATAAGTACTTACATACTCCTTGATGCCTTGATGACTTATCCGTGAGAAGAGGTCTCTTCTCAACAATAGGCTGGTGATGTAAAGAGTTATTGTAGGTGGCGCTACAGAAAAAGTGATTGGATGCTTGTCAGATTTTATTATCATTAAAGACAAACGTAAAAATAATCATCATCGGCCCGTAAGTACCCACTGCTGAGCAAAGGCCTCTTCTCACGCGGAGAAGGTTTAGAGCATTAATCACCACGCTTGCTCAATGCGGGTTGGCAATTTCAAACTTATAATTAGAAATTATAAGTCCAGGTTTCCTCACGATCTTTACCTTCACCGTATGTCAGTTGTATCTAAATAATCATAGAAAGTACATATAATTCGGAAAAAGTCACATAGGTACTTGCCAGGTTTCGAGCCCAAACCCTCATGCATGAGAAGCGGATACATTAATCTCCGAGCCACCACGACATTAAAAATAATAATAGTCATCAATGCTGAAACTTTTATTCCATCCCATATTTACGGTATTTTAAAAGTTGTACTGCATTATCGAACTTAAAACAGTTTTTTTTTCGAAACGAAGTTATTCCGTAAAGATGATTTACTGAAAAAATATTTTCACCAGGTTGTCTTCCAATGATCTGCTTGCACAACACTCCGGCTACGTATGTCAAGATACCAACATACGCTGCACCTACTAAAGATGTTGATGGTAAGTGCAATGACCTTACATAACTTCACCTTCAATCTGTCTTCTTAGAACACAAAAAAGAAATGTAATATGTAACTGACTTCACGATTTTCAAAAAGGGTTGTTATTAACTTGAACTTACGAATCAACGCGTTAGAATTAGCCTAGTATTTTTTTTCAGAGAAAATTTCATGAAGACACTTCTATTATAAAATTTCACCACAATATGTATATATGACTTGTAAACTAGAAAGGAATCCTAAATTATATATATAACTAGCCACTCTCAAGCGGTTTCACCCACTACTCAGCTTCTACAGATCGTAGCGTGATGTTTTGTAGCCTATAAGCCATCCTCGATAATGAGACTTATAAATACAAGAAGAATTGTTTGGTCCGAACCAGCAGTCCCTGAGATTAGCGCGTTCAAACAAACAAACTCTACGGCTTTATAAAATTACTTAGTATAGATAACTTAATACCAACAGTTTATTCAGACGACGTCCTTACAACACAAAACCTCAACATAGAAATACAGAAATCGACGCGCTTCACGTACTCGTACCACTCAACCTAAAAAAAACATTCATTACTTAATGGTTAAAAGGAAATAGTAATTCAATATCAAACTTGAACAAACAAACGGAAGCATATCATGCTACCCCTTTCTTCAATAGATTCTCGGCTTTATACCAAATCTATAAAGTACAATTTCGTTTATACAGAGTTGCGACCCTTAGCACCGAAGCGTCCTATGAGAAGATTATTGAAAAAAGAAGTTTCGCTCGATACTTATACTTGGCAGAAGAAATATGGACATCTTACTTCTGCGGCTATGATGGCACAAGTTGATGAACGCTTGAAGAGAAGGTAAAGTCAATACGATTCCAGTCTTTTATCAATTTTACATAAAAAGTAATATGATGTACCGTAGTCACCGCCGCCGCCGACGCCGTAGTCGCCATGAGGTTAAGGCACCCGCTTTTCATGCATGACTATTTCCGAGTTATATGTACGTTCTATGTTAGCTTAGCTACCGCTGATATACGGTGTATGAAAACACCCCGAGGAAACCTGGACTTAAAATTTCTGATTATGAGTTTAAAATCGCCAATCCGTCTGAAGCAAGCGTGGTGATTAATGCTTAAAACCTTCGCCGTGTGAGAAGAGGCCTTTGCTCAGAAGTGGGCACTTATAGGCTGATTGATGATGATCTGAGATAGCAATGAGAAATAAAAAATCTTGATGTCCCTTTTAAGACTGTTTAAATTAGTTGTAACCATTAACGTAGGTAATTATTATGAAATGTTATTTTCGTTTAGATTCTCCGTGTCCGCATCAATGGAAGAGATCTCAAAGATACAAGAAGCAAAGAACAAGGACTTGGGTTCACAGGTATATATTTTTCTGCGTACCTACTAATACTATTTTTTATATACGTCGTGCAAGATATTACTAACAATTATATTTTCTGATTAATTAATGATTTAGTAAAAGGAATGTACACAATAATATACAAACACTAGTTAATCTCGCGCGGTTTTACCCGCTACTCTATTTTATAGCCTACCACGACAAATGGTCTAACTAACGAAAATAAAATTTGAACCAGTCTTTCCGGAGATCAGCGCTTTCAAACTATCAAAATACTCATCAGCTTTATAATATTATAGTATAGATAAAACATGCTACCAATATAAAATGTTTAATATTGCCATAAAATGTACAGGTGAGCTTAGGTCCCGAGGAGGCAGCGATAGCCCAATCTCAGCACTTTGATCAGCTGGAAGCTTTATGGAACAAGATATCGCCGCCGCGACGACGGTCCAATAAGGTACGGTAGACATTTCATTAATTGCGTTTCAGAGTTAAAACGTGTCACACTTTTATGTAATAATGTTTAAATTCGGATTTTTCGTGGCATATGTCGACCAACATATTACCTGGTAGTAAGCAATGGACATTCCTAAAACCAAAGGAGTTACTATAAGGACGTTGCCGACCTAGCTCTTGTGTGTTTTGGATAGGGGATTCGAGGATTGAGGATGGGGCTAACACAACGAAACACAACATAAGTGTACCTTCAACGCCGATGTTCTTTGAGGCTGTGGTATCTACTCCGGTCGAGCCGGCGCATTCGTGCCGAAACATGGCTCTCTCAAACATAAAATTTATAATTTACATATTTTATTGCGCTCTTTTATCACCAATCGTGTTATTGGCTTATTATGTTTAGTAATTTTAAATAAACGAGCTGATGATTATGATGATCTAAATGGATATAATTACTTTCAAGCCCAAATAGCATATAATTGGCCATGAAAAATTAAACCAAATTTCTAATTGTAATACAAGGATAGAAGACAAATCACATTTCTTGCTGTAATTCCAGGGATGAAATTCGGTGATTGGCACCTACTTTTTTCATAGAAGACTATGCAAGAAATGTGATTGACCAAAAAGCTACTCTGTAACTGAACTAATTAAACATAATTTTAATCGTCCCTATTGTTTCAGTCACTGTCAAAACAGAGCTCGTTAATTGAGAGCCGATTCGACTCATCCGACGAAGAGCACACGCCGGTTGAGGAACAAGGTATTTGATACTTTTTAAAGATTAAGAAATTGAAATATTATTTGTGCATATTATTTCACAACTCTGCAACATATACCTAGACCCTACGCAAGAACATAAAAGTACTCTCGAGAAAAATACCGAATATGTAGTGCGAAAATAAATCGAAATAAATCAGATTCTTATTAAGTAACTCGTATTTCGAATTCGAATTCGAATTCTCTCAAAAATAACTTTTCAAACCATATAATTATTTTGTTTGTATCCTGAGTGCAAAAACGTAGAAGACATTGAAAAACTCAATTTATTTTTGAAAATACTTAGGTGTGTAAAATACTATTCCAAGTCAAAATGATTTATGAAAAACTAAATAAAGCATAATTGATGATGAAGTATAAGTTCACACCTACGTAATTTCCACCCATACCGTTTATAACTAACAAAACACAAAAATGCACCTAGGAAAGAACTGTACTTAAATATTTTTACGATTAATGTGTAAATTTCAATTAATTCTAATCGATTAGTTCAATAACAAATCGTTTGTTCCTTTATAAAAAAACACTACTTGAATAACCGACGAACATTATTCCTGGGAGTAATAGAAAAAGTTTTATAGACTAGCTAATGAATCAGATTTCTTCGAATACTACGGTTAAATAAGATTTCCTTACTAAGAAAACTGTTGAACATTAATTTCTGTTTTAACTTCGGTAATATAAGCATACAACGATCGCGTTAAACTTTGTAATTTCAATCAATCAATGAATTTCGTTTCGTCTTTCATAGCGATTTTAATTTTATCTTCTCATTCAAATAAACTTTTCGATTATCTTTAGAGTTCTTTTATTTGATTATTTTTCTTTTGAAAACTTCCTTTACATCGGTTTTCTTTCCTTGAATGAATACGTAGAAATGCATACATATACATATACATATATATCAACTTATAGCTTCTGCCCGCTCCTTTACACGCGTACAAAAATAATGTATCGCAGGATTTAAAAAACAACAACGCTTAAAGCGATAGCTTAAAATACGCAAATCAATATAATTATAATTAATAGCCTATAGCATTTAGGAGCATCGTAGCTAAATATATCAGTGATAAAATTTTGTAAATCCAACCAGAGCGGTTCCAAATATAAAGCGGTTCTAAAGATTACTGCTTACATACAAACTTACAAATGTTACCTCTTCACAATATTAGTATTAACATCGTAGTACAGTCAGTCAACTTATTTGGTAATTAATTAAGACAAAGATAATAATATTCTTGTATTCTTTTTCCGGTACTTTTTTTAAATCTTGAATGTCTTCAGTCCTTGCTTAGATACTCTATTTTCAGGCGTACCAAAAAGGTTGATCAGCTGATTACTGAGAGATTCAAATATAAAAAAAACTTGCACAACAAATCAAGCTAAACTTTGAATCAAGAACATACAAATTATTAACAATTTTATTATAATTTCTTTCTTTTACAGAACACATGGTGGAGTAAAAGTGTTTGGAAAACAACTTTATTAATTTAATTAGTATTGTAGATATTATTTGTCTCATATATGAGCTGGTCTCATTTCTTTAGTACTTATATGATTTAAAATTGTTATTTCATTACATATTTTATGATATTTTGCTTGGAGATGTATTTCATATATTTATTTCGTGCCATATTATATGTACATTAGGGCGTGGATATGTTTTTATTCATATTTTAAAAATGAGTACATAAATTATTATTATTATTTTGTATTATTGAAATATTTTAAGTTTAAAAATAATCCTTTATTTAATTATACAAATCTTTTGAAATTCAAAACGTATGCAAATAAAAAGCAAACACGAAATATGTTTAAGTTAAAGTAGACTTTAAAAACTACGAATTAAGTAAATATTTATTGCTATAATCGCTGAAACTGTTGTTGGAGTATATAACTAAGTAAATAATTAATAATATTATTATATACGCATTGTGATCTTCTAGACTTTACTAGCTTCCTTTTGGGGCCAGTTTCTTATAAAAAAAACAAAACGACTTTTACTATTTCAACGACTAAATATGTCCACTTTTTACATAGGTAACCTAAACTATATCCAAAAACTGAAAAAAATACTATTTTAAATCAAATCTATCGGAAACTGGTCTCGTGTAGTTCACTAAACTATAACTTTGAATTCACGCTATTAAACTGTGTCAGCACACTGTTGAATAAGTATTTACGTAGGTACAATTAGAATAATTAGCCATAAGCATTTTAATTAAATTTATTTGCAGATAGAAAATTTACCATAATTTTTTGAGCTTTAAATTTTTGAGTTCGAAATGAATAGACGTTTTTAATGTGCAACATATAATTACGCGGATATTAACGCAAAAAATAATCATTTAAATACCTTGGTAGGCTTGACGTTTCGACTTGGTTGCACAGGTCATGGTCGCAAGCAGACTGAAGATGCGATATTTTCGCGTTTATATGCGCGTAATTATGTATGTTGCAAATATGAAACCCGAATGTTTAAAAGCTAGCTATTTATGTGCACTGTTCCTTTGAACAAAAACAGACCGGTATGTTGCAGTTTATACTTGTGTCCCTTTCGCACAACTGTTATCGTAATATAACAGATAGAGATACACATATTGTAAAGATAGCTCTATTATACAAAGTAAATGCTTAGAAATGGCTATTTATTATGATCTTACTAATTATTGAATTTTAAAAAACGAATTCCATGTAGAATTAACTGCATTTGAAAGATAATATTAGGCTTTATTTTTAAATGTTTTAAGAATTTTTCAAACCAAAAATCTATTTTTCCCGTTGATTTCGCCTTAAAGTTTTATGTTTAATATTATTTATAAAAGTTGGATACCTGCGACAGTTACAAGATTCAAAATAATTTATTTTATTAATTGTTGAATATTCTGTTAATGATCAATTATATATTTAAAATTTAATGTAAGTAATTTAGTAATAGAGTAGTTTAATTAGATATTAGTATTGTAATTTCCCCGATTTGTGTATCGAACTAGTGTTTTCCAACTGTGATCCCTCATAAAGACTTCTATATAAGTACACATAGTAATCAAAGCTACAAAGTCCTTATGAATAGTTAGATTAATATAATTGTCTGTTAGACACGATCTACCTTTTAAAAATACTAAGTAATAATATTCAACACTTTTTTATCTTTTTTCCACCAAAAAAAAAATCGAAAATCTTATTTGCAACGTCACAAAAGTATATAAAAATATAACAAGGGTTTATAATCCTGTCGTTTATTATCAACAACAATTTATTGTGAATTTTAAAACTGTAGCAATAGTAAATTTGTACACTTATTCCTAAATATTTTAACGATGTTTTGTAAAGAGATCCTTATAATAAGCTTTTGCACCTTGCCGTAACAATTAATCATCTGACTGTACCCAGTGTTAAAAATAATTTTACCATTATTTTGCGTCTTTAATAGAAAACAGAAGTAACATTAAAAGAAGGTATTTCAAAATTGAACCTTATTATTGCAACATAACTTTTCAGATTCAAATACCTTCTTTTTTGAGTTAGGCCTCTTTTCTATTATGCATACAACTTTGTTTTTCTTAAAAAAGTCTTGTTATTTAAATATAAATCTTATTTAAATCCTTAATTCTGTCAGTAAATATAGCTACGTTGATCATAGATATAATTAAATTTTATTGAAGCAGTGATTAATGCTATTAGTAGAATAATAGTAATTGAGTAGTATTTCTAAAGTTTTAATGTTGGTACTAGAAGTTACTTACGTATGTATAAATTAGACAATGCAATAATATTTCATAAGTAGATGCACTTACTTGTAGTATAGGCAAAAGGACTCTTCTGAATAGCATTCGAATGGAAACAGAGCTCTGCACTCTACGCTTCTTAAACAAATCTGTCACAAAGCTAAAAGTGTTTTGAGGGGAAACTCGATAGATGTTTACACTTGAGGACGGATAACTTGAGAGTGAATCACTTTGTTGAATTTATACTCAAAAGGAAGTACCTACCGTAAGCCAACATCTAAGTTCAAAACGATTGTACGAAGAAATCGGTGTATAAGCTATTGTCCTCAAGTGATACCGGTTTGCAATAACTTTGAATAGTGTAATCGTTAAACACTGTCACCTTGTTAACTATTTGTATAGAGTTTTATATATTTATCGTTTCTTATTCCTCACTGATGTGAGTTTTATTTTTGACCTGTCGTGGCATTATATCTGAAAATATATCCTCTGTGTTTCTTATGCGTGTGTGTTTATTTCAATTTCCTATCCTAACACAGTATTGATTATTTACCCTTACTCTACCATCTACCGTTTAAAAATCTAAGCTTTGTATTGATCATACATCATATCATCTTCAATAAACGTGCGTACTCCTTTATGATAGGCTGGCAACGCGCCTGTGATTTCTCTGGAGTGGCGAATGTCCATGGACGGTGCTGATCACTTATCATCAGGCCATCCGTCTACTCGTTTGCCAATTTCCTAAAAAAACTCAAAGGCCTCATTCAGACAATGTTTATATTCAGAAACAAACTATATTTGGAGTTAGCTTTAATGCAATCATTACCTAATCCAGTCTGACACATTGAACTTCATTATCGTACATGTTTTCACTTTTACTCTGCATTAATCTAAATTTAGAGTTTATGTCAATGACAAAGGTAATTGACAAGTAAATATTATGATCCCTGAGGTTCAGTTATTGATATGTTAATTGCGTATCTATAAGTACTTTATTTGATACTAAAATATCAAATCTAATCCATGGTAGATAAAAACTGTTATCGTGTAAATGCTTGTACATAATCCATAAATAGTTGTTAAACAGCGGACGCGTTTGTCGGTAAATTATTTTTACATAAAAATTATATTTTCTAATTAACGATAATATTAGAACGGACGGCATCAATAAGAGAGTGCTAGTGAAAATGCAAAGAAATGGACTAAAGAAACTCGGCAATTGTGACACGAACATAATGATCAATAAAAACAGGCAGGAGATAATATTTTATCGGCAGATAAATTACAGTGTGATGTGCTAAGTGACTAAATAATCCGAAATATGGACAATACCAGCTTAACTCCATGTCAAATAAATGATTTGTATCAAGAACGTTTGTATTTCACTATACAAGTGAATGTGTTGGATATTGAACAAGGCAGCGTAATATACTCGAAGAATGAATCCTCGTTTTGGACAGCGTTTACTTTGGCATGCAGTACGGTGGGGATTTCGTTGTCAGCGGCTGCACTTGGGATTTTAATACTGACAGCGGTGCTGTTTGCAGAATGGCGGCAGAGCTACAAGAACCAGCTCCTCATCCAATTCATGCTCGCGCGGTTCTTGTACGCCTGCGTGAGATTCTTCAGCGATGTTCAGAAAGTATTTAAGGTGTGCCCCTTCTCCAACCAGTTCGCTTTTCTAGACATCATAACTATAATGTACACGGAAATGGCCCTAGTCACCTGGATGTTTATATTCAGTCGCCAGATTTACATCAGTTTAGTCAGAGTGTTCGTCACGGAAAAGTCTAGCATCATCAAAGTTTCCGTGATTGCATGGTTGGGGCCTGCAGCCCTAACTGCCTTCTTATTTGGAATGTTCTACAGGGACCGACCCAACATCGATAGGTATATCCAACTTTATATACTTACGATTAAGTGGCCTTTACTGATTGCAAATGCTGTGTACCTTATCTTAGCTCTGAGATCTGTTATTAAGAATAATATGAGAACTGAAAAGAACGTACGAATCATCGTTGTAATGATCATGTTGATATTTATATTTTGCTTTCAACAAATGGTCGTTGACGTTTTTAAAATGATTTATATGGAACTTGGTGACTCGAAGCATTTTATAAGTAACTTATTAAAGATTGGTAATCTTCTGTCGATGTACCATTGCGCATGCTCCATATTGTTCTGGGTGTTGGGTAACGCAAACACTAGAAGGTTATGGAAGTTCCACGGCAAAGGATTGCGTGACAAAATACGATTGAGCATAAGTTCCTGAATAAAATGTAATTGTTTAATTGTAAGTCTATTTATTTATACCAAATTAAATATTAAAAATGTGATAACTGTAAATATTTTAGTTTTTATTTAACAACAAAAATTCTTAACGCAATTCACCTAAACCCATAGAATTCTTTATTTCTGCAATAGATGGTAGAGACGCTAAGTTAAAAAGTGGTGTCAAACTTTTTCAAGTTTAGTATGTCTCTTTTAAGTATCATATTATCATGACTGAATGCCTTTTTTGAGCCACATAGTTACAATTTATATTTTACAAACAACTATATCACTTTAGACCATATTTTTTGATGTAATAAAGGTCTAGGTATAGGTACCGAGAAAGGTACATTTGTGAATAGCATAACTCACCATACAAATGGTTGGCAGATATTGACTGTAGAACTTTCTACCTCACACTGAAAAACTCTTAAATGCATTGGTCAAACCTTCCAGAGCGC